CAAATGACCTACATAAGAAACCCACTCAAGACTTTGATTTCTTGCAATATGAGGGACTGTTCAGAGGCCAAAAATAGTAAAATAAATTCAGAATTCAGAGGGAAAAGCAAAAGATGCAGTGTGATGATGATCTTCTTTTATGCATCAACTTGGCGAGGCTGGAACCCCAGTTATTCAATCAAACACCAATCTGCGAGTTGCTGTGAACATGTTTTGTAGGTGTAATTAAAGTCCACAATTGGTTGACTTCAGGTAAAGATCATTCTTGATAACCAGGCAGGCCTGATTCAATCAGCTGTAAGACCTTCAGGAGCAGAGCTAAGGCTTCCCAGGAGGAGCAAATCTGCCCGGCGACAGCTGCTCTCGCCTGTGCCTGGGGTTGCAGCCTGTGCTTCCTGAAGGGGAACGCACGGGCGTTCTTGATTTGCCCAGCCAGCCTCCACTACCACGTCATCCAATGCCCTGCAGTAAGTCCCTTCACGGAAACTTCTCAGTGGCTCTGAAGCTGGCTGCCGGTCTGGGGCACCTGCTGCTCCCTGCTTTTGCTCTGCAGAAAACAGGCAAGTTTAGGACCCACATAGTGAAAAGTCCAATTAGGCACAAAGTGAAAAAGTGAACCAGAACACAAAGAAACAAGTAAGCAAACCTAAACTTGGCTCTCTGGGCTTCAATTCTGGGCACAGGAGAGCGAGCTACTCATGGAGAATCTACACCCACAAGTCACAGATTTGAGGCCCAACTTCACAACTGAATACAAATGGTTCCAACATTAAGCATAGAGAAATACCACCTCATATCTATCTGACTGACAAAGTTTAAAGTGAGGATTTACCAACTACTGGAAGGAATACGGAGCAGTGGAAACTCTCATTCAGTGCTTTGGAACATCAGCTTTGGAAAGCAACTCTGCATCACCTGGTAAAGTCATAGATGTATGTATCCTATGTGATATTGACCTCATTCCACTGCCATGTATACACCCTTGAACACCTGATGAACCTGTGCCCTAACAAACATGGACAAGAACGGTCTCTTCAGCATAATGAATGTATAACAGCCCTAAACTACAAGCAACTCAGATCCACTCACAGGAGATTAGGTAAAAAGAAAGAGTCACAGGATGGAGTACTAGGGCAAAGGAAATGAACAAATGACAGCTGCACATCCTGGCACAAACATAATGTAGAATAATAAACAGTAGAAAAAAAATGCATCCATGCATTACGATTCCATTTCTCTTCGCAGTCACACTGCATGTTATAGAGATAACGCCAGGACTGGATCCCTACGTACCCACGTGCCGTATCCAGGCCATCGGCGCTTCAGACGAGAACTATGTCCTACTCACAACTGTACCAGAGAACAGAAGAGAGTGCCAGGCACACGGAAGAGACCCAACAGCTATTCCCTGAGTGAATGAATAAATGTTGAACACCGAAGTGCATGCCAGGAACCTGACCCTGAGTTTCTAGCCTAGAGTCCTGAAGCATGAAATTCCGAACTCTGACCTCGCCGGCCTGGGCCCCTTGCTGCCATAGCTGACCCTGTTGCCACTGTCACCCAACCTACCTGCCTAGTGTTAACTCCCCTTCCTATAACCACATTCCCTCCAGAATCTTCCGTCTAAAAGCTACTCAAGTCCCAGTGTGAAACATTCTTGCCAAAAAACCCAAGAAAGAGGGAGGACTTTATCATCGTCCATTGAGTGAAGTGTTGAAATGTGCTCTAGATTTAATCCAGGCTGGCTGCTGTAGTTTCCCATCCTTTAACACGGAGTCCAGAAAGTGGGAGAACACAAGACCTTTGGGAGGATGTGACAAATGTGAGGCTTAGAAAACTAGCACACAGGTTAAGGAATTTTAGTTCAAACAGAGCAGTAACAAAATAACATGACAACAAAGCCCTGCAGGTAAAAATAACTTAATTATACTAAGCTATATTGAGAAAGGGCTTATTGTGGAATTCTGGGGCACCTTTCTGTGTGAGAAATAAACATAACTGAAGGGACATATTTTTGAGGAAAGTAATTGATACATTTTCTCTCCTGAAGTAGTAGAACACTTTTAAAATACCTATTTTTTTTCAACACCAAGGGTGTTCTTGCTTTGAACATTACAAAGACAGAACACTTTACACAAGGGGGATCTTTCTTGATATAATCACAGTAATTTAATCTTGCAACACCAACTAATGTAAGTATGAAGTGTACCTTAATGTTGGCTAATGACATGGCTACTGTGAGTTAAGGCCATTAACTCTGCAGGGTAACTTGGTACAAACACCCTGCAATTACCTTGTTCAGCCAGATCAAGTTCATTTCAATTTACCAGGTTTTTAAAATTCCAAATGTCATGTATATCTTAAGAATATTCACAAGCAGATGAGATTATTCTTGACTCTCCTGCTATCATTTAAGCATTGAATCACACTTACTGTTTTAGGAAGAGAGTTGGTCACAAACAATAGATAATCAGTTGAAAAGACCTTAAAAGCAGAGTTGAGGCTTCCTCAGCATTTAGCACACACACATTTCCTTTTTCTCTCTATCAGTGTTACACATTCCAGAGGCTGGTGTTGTCTGCTTGCATCCACTTGGCTACGAATCAGTCTTTATTTCATTTCAATGATTTCCTGAATTCCTACTCTGCACCTACCACTATGTGACATACTGTCTGGGGAGGGAGTTCTTACTGTAATGGGGCTTTCAAGGTATGTAGTTGATGACACAAGATTCATATTCAAGAAAGAGTTAAAGAAAAAACATGAAGGAATATGAAGCCCGAGGTATAACAGAACCTTGACTTCTGAGCTTGGCTGTTTTCTGAACACCAACTGCCTTGAAGCTTTTGAAAAATTCACTCCCTTCTCTGAGCCACAGTTGCTTCCTTGGTGCAAAAAGGAGGCTACACTCTCAAAAGTTCTTCCAAAAGAGCTATTCAGTTAGGACATTCGCAGTTTTAAGCAAGCATAAGAAAGTCTCTTTTAGAAGAGCGATTTTCCACCTTTTCCTCTCATGGCACACATAAACTAATTACTAAGATTCTGTGGCACACCAGAAAATATATCTATTTTTTGCCAATCTGAAAAACAATAGGTATAATTTTGACCCATTCACACTGAACAGCTATTGTTGTGTTGGCTGCTCTCGTTTTTTGTTTAACAATCCAAGGGAAAAAAGGTCAGTGCTCCTAACTAAACAGCCAGGTACTGCATGTTTTTAAAAAGTTCTTGTGGCACAGCGATTAAAAATCACTCCTTTAGAAGATGTGTATGAAGGAATTCACAATGCAAAGACTGTCCCAAGATGCAACTGATCAGAGAAGGTATCACAGAAGTGGAAGTGGTAAGTCTTCAGGTTGGCCTGGGAGGACCGTAATGTAAAATGCGATTGTGGTGCTGTGTGTGGCCTAACACCATCCGGAAACTCTGCTCTCTTCCTATCCATCCTTTCTGTCATTATGACTAAAGGCATCCTGTTCTCCATTCACTATTAATCAACAGCAAGGAAGTTATAAGGGAGAGATGGTGTTCAAGGTGGTGGATGAGGACTAGCGTAATTGATTTCACAGAGCAACTGTATCTGCCGAGATATCATCCAGCCAAATTCACTCACTGCTCTAGCAAGTGAAGTCTCTCTGCCATATTGATGATCTAGTAATCAAAAAAATATTGACTCACACACACAGTGAGTGTTATCTATCATCTGACGTGGAACAGCAATTGAGTGATTATCCAGGTAATGGGGCCGGTGAAAGAGTCCTAAAAATTCACACGGAGACTAAGCTGTCTGGATCGGTACCTTTATCAATCAGATCCTCCAGACAATATGCCTCTTCCTTTCTCTTGGTACTTGCTAGAAAGAGATTTAGACAGGAAGTTCTCTAATTAAGGACAAAGTGGCAATGTCTTACTAAAGTTAAGGAATTAAAGCAGTTGTCCATTCTTGTGCACGGAAAGCATTATAGATGTAGAGGTTTCTTGCTGCCTACATATACTCTGCTAAGGTTATAGAAGAAACTCCGAGGAAAGATGCCATCTATGAAAGGGTCTGGGTGAATCTGCAGAGAAACTACTGGTCCCTGTTCTTCAATTTCCTTTCATTTTCCCACTTAAAAAGCTCAAGTTCGGAGTCCCCTCAAACCCTTCTCAGAATCCACCTTCCCTAGTTCCTTCATCATCTAGCTCTCTTCCCTCTGAAGCCCTTGGCTTCCCAATCCTTGAGACATAAATGATATTATGGCTCCCTTTTATTAACTGTCCCCCAGCCCATTAATTTTTAATCAGCGAAGAAAGGATGATCTATGTAATATTTAAGAACATGCCCCAATTTCCAGTGGTCCTTTACGTATAAACTATTACCTCCTACACATTAAAGAGATTGTGGGAGTTGCTTGGGCCGGTCCATCTCTGAAAACTACTGGAAGCTCTTTGGCCTAAGGCAGAGAGGAACAGTTCCGATCACCCCAGGAGCCCGGGGCAGGGACCCTACTTCAGCAAGCTACAAACAAACTGCAACTGAAGGAAGCTCAGCTGAATTCCTCATCTGACAATGCATTATTTTCTCAGTTTCTCTTCACACATCGTCAGCAGCATCAAACCCTTAAATCTGGGTTTCATATGCAGATATGACAAGCTGTCTGATACTATTGCACACTAATGTACTATAACGTTGCTGACACTGAAAATCCTTTTCTTCAACCTTTTCTTCAAAATCTCTTCCTCTAAGGAGTTCAAAAAAAGTGGTTTTTTAACCAATTCACCACGATGAATATCATATGCGTATCATCAACGACTATGGCAAGGGTGTAGCCTTTTTCTCTTCCCATTAAGAATACAGAGACTTATAGAGAACTGAAATGATTTCTACAAGGGTGTGTAGTTTTTGGCAACAGAACAGGGAGGAGATAGCAGATTTAAATAAGAACAGGTCATGTTGGGATAAAACAATAATAGAACAAAATAAACTCCTCAACCCAGTGAGGGGCTTTAAGTCACAATACCCTTTAACCCGCAGGTTGGCTCCTTCCTCGGCCTCCTGTAGATGATGTGTGGGTGGTGGTCTCCCTCAGCCCGAGGATGCTCTTTGACAGGCTCAATAAAAAAGTCTCCATGTGGCAGATGGAAAAGTCCAGTCTGTAAATAGATGCAATAGAAAGGCTTATTTGAATCAATACTATACACAAAGAAAATTAGCAAGTGAAAACTATATAGACCTTGATGATCCCTAACACTCCTAAGACCGATACTTTCAGAGCTGCCATTTGATCGCACAGAAGACCTATACAGAAGTAATTTAATGAAAAGTCTTCATAGTTATTTAATGTTTAGGGGTCATGGATCCCTTTGAGACTCTAATGAAAAAAGTGCACATATACATATCTACCCAAATTGTAGTATACAACTTTTCAGGTTCATGGATTCCTCTCCAAACCCACAGCTGGATATCTATAAATGTTAAGAGCCAGTTTTCCTATTAGAGCCTGGCTGCCCTATTAGAGAGTTGATACCTGTACTCCAAATTCCACTGACAGCTTTGTGGAACATTTTACTTACCTGTATGAGTGGGGGGCCGGGGATGGCCAAAAAAGCCAAATTATCTTCTGGAGGCCAGATCCCTTGTAGTAGAGGCTTCCCTTAATGGCTGTGTGTTCTAGGGACACATCTGTATCAGTGTACCAGATGGCGTTATTGTGAGAGGCTGCGTTTGGCTTCAGTGAATTCTTTTTGAAGACTCTTGCAATGTGTTTGACCATTTCACAATGGGTAATTTATGAGCACACCTGCCTACACTGTGCTGAGTGTTCAGCGGTTTTTGACCAAAACCAGCATGACCTCCATGCTCCCCCTCCCTGGTCACCCGATCTTGCCCTGAGCGACTTTTTTTCGTTTCCCTGGATTAAAAGTCCTCAAAGGGAAATGTTTTACCAATGTGGAAGAAGTGGAACAAAAAACAGCAGAAGCACTAAAAGGCATCAAAACTGACACATTCAAAAACTATTTTGAGCAGTGGGAAAAACGTCACAATAGGTGTATTGCATCAAATGGAGAGTATTTTGAAGGTGACTGAAGTTTAAACATGTAAGAATAAATACACAATTTTATATAAATAAATTCTGGGGTTTTGGGAGGATCCCCCTCTTATGTGGTAAACCAGCTACCTGTTCACACAGCTGTTTGACTTGAAGTGTTTAACATCATTCTGCTTTCAAAAAAACAAAGAACTGTAACACTAAGGCCCTGATCTGGCACTGGGTTTCCAGAGGGCCACCACAGAAAGCCCTCTGCCAGTGTCAAGGGAAAAGGGGGCCCTCATCTTGCAGACACGGGAATTTGCAATATGCTGGAGAATGCTGGTCAATGAGTAGCTCATTTTGGAGGTCAGGTCTAGAAGTGGCATATAGAAGCTCTCCTTTCTCTTACGGAAAATTTCTTTGTGCCCATCGGAGACGCTTAGAAAACTACTTTGCTAATGGCCGCCTAGGACGGACTTAACTCTGGAGACTTGAATTCTGTATCAGTGAGTAATAGGGCTTGCCCTAGACAACCTGCTAAAGGCAGAAACTCAGACTCCAGAATTAAAACGGGTTCAAACATCAGCTTCTCCATTTATTAACTCTGTGACCTTGGACAAATGACTTGCTCAGTTTCAGCTTTCTCAGCTGATAAACGGAGATTAATGAAGGGTTGCTGCGAAGATAAAATGAGTTCATATGTGCAAAGCTCTTCAAAAGGGGCCTGGCTCACAGTCTCATCCATCATAGGCTTTTTCCAGATCTCAGATTTTATATCATTTCATTGCATCAGGGTCTCCAGAGTAAACAGAGCACTTCAATAAATTTCCATTTTGCAAAATTAAACCTGGAGACATTGGGGGATCGGGGAAAGTGAGAAGGGCCTCCAAAGTTCAAGTCCCTCGTCTCCCCCCCCGCCCCGCACTCCCGCCCAACACCTCAGCAAGCCAAGGCCGCTCTGTTCTGCAGAGGAGTCTGAAGACCAGCTGAGCAGCCCCAGGGCCAGAGACGAGAGGGGCTCCATGAAAGAAGCTGCTCTCTACTGGACAACCCTGCACTGGGGGTCTTTCCAAAATGTTTGCTTCACTGCACCAGTAATATAACCAGATCTTAACCTAAACCTCCATTATTGACTTCCTGTTTTGATCATTTACTTTAAAATATCTTTAATAACAAAGAGAATAGGAAAAAAAGGGAACACTTTGCTGGGAGTCACAACAATAGCTCTGTGACCTTGAATTGGTGGCCCAGCCTGCAAAGTGGGAGTAATGCCTGCTCCCTCATAGGGCTGTTAGGAGAACTGAGTGAGCTGAAGCTTGTACCAACTGCTTTACAAATGGAGGGGGATCATGCGTTAACTACCAACTCTAACAGCAGTTATATCTGACTTCAAATTTGCTGACATCCCTTGGGAGACCTCTTTTCTCAGCAACATCCTCCAAGGACAAACCTTGGGACAGGACGATCTGACACGATCCAGACGGCAATAAAATAGCTGGAAAGAGACTCGTGCGGGGCTGAGCCTTGGTTCGATTTCCACTCTGAGACAAAGACCAGGGACATGTCTTTGCCTCGGGGAGAAAGTGTACCTGTTGCTAATGAAGTTCATTTCTTCCACAGAGGCAAAGCAGAGGTGGAGAATTCCTCAGGGATGGCCAGCTCAGGGTTCCTTTGTGACACTGTTATCAACCTAATACTGATGTCCGGGAAGAAAAGAACATCGCCAACAAGAAGGGTTTATTGGTATTTCTTTGGCCTCAAGTTTTGGACCAAGGTGATGCAGAAGAAACAGGTGGGACTCCAGCTGAGCACATAACGATTTTATGGGCGACATGAATGAGAACGTCTGAAAGCCAAACGAGCATTTTCCTAAAGGCTGACTTCCACTTCATTCCTCCACAAGGCCGGCCTGGCCAGCGTGTGCCAGGAAATCACGTCGTCAGCCTAAATACTTCTCTGAAGCTAGATGGAGACCTAGGAGAGCTGGGCGGCTCACCCGCTGGTGGGCACACAGGATACTGGCTCACATGCAAGTAGGGCTGCGGGCCCCAGGACTCCATGCGTGTGTCACAGAGAAGGGACCAGGCAGGATAGTGGGTGAGGGGATGTCCACCGGGGGAGAGCGAGATGGGAAGATTTCCTAGCTGAGCTCTCTGCGCCTCCTCTCCCTCCCCCAGCTCTGGGTACACCTGCTACCCAGGTGGTCAGGGTTTGCTTGTCTCTCTCATTTAACCAGAGCCAGGTCACGTTGGAAGAACTCATGTAGGTAGGTTTACTTTGAAAAGGGAGGACTGGCTCCAAGCCTTCCCAAAGCTAACTGCCCAACAGGGTCACCTTCCATTACCAGTTTTAGATGTGAGACAAAGAGCGTGCTCTTCACTCTATTCTTCTCTACACTCTGCTCACCCCTCCCATATCTTTGAAGGACAATGGAAATGGACTTGAGGAAAAAGTATCCACTTCACTGGGGGCTTGTACTCTGTTCCCTCAGAAAACCAAGGCACAATGAGCCTCAGACAGAAGCTCAAAGAAGACAAATTTTCCCTTTTATCCTGCCTGTCATCTACTCTTTCTCCTCCACACTGCTAACTCAGATTTGGAAAGAAACCCACCTCATTGTCTTAACAAGGTTATAAATATCTGTGAATATTTCCCAAGGCTATCTTGGAAGGGTTGCTTTAAATAAACTTTCTTTTGAAGTGCTGTAAACATACAGAAAGATGTCCAAGCCGGAACTGTAGAGTCCCATAAATCTTTCACAGAGGGAGCACCTAGACGGGGAAGAGAGCATTCCCCAGAGCCGAGGCACTCCATCCCCCTCCCGGTCAGTCACATCCCTCTAGGGTAATCACTATTCTGATTCCAAACACTAATAAATTAGTTTAAACCTATCCTCACTTTGTACAGGAAGCATTACTTGACACAAAAGAAAAACAATGTGTACTAGTGTATCTCAAGTGTTAGGAACTAGCCAATGGACAAGACTTTAAGGCAGGTGGATTTCCCAGCGCAGGTTAAATTGGTCTCTTCATATTGCTCCCTACTCATTAGGCAAGCGCAGCTGGTGGGGCTGAGACAGGGCTGGGCTACCTTGGTGCACTGAACCTCTACTGCTTTCTGCTCATGAAGCGTGGGTGAGACCTTCACAGATGCTTTAGGACCCATTTCTCTCTCCAAGTGTCAGGTTAAAAACAACCCCTTCTCCTCAATTCCCACCAAAGTGTTAGTCATCTTGAAGTATTTGACATTTTTCCTCAGTTCAGACAAGGATTTGGGGTCCAGTAGGAAACTGGCAGCATCTTACAAGGAATTTGGGAACAGAGTACTCTAGAATCATAAAGCCTAGAAACCGTGAAGGGACGTCTCACCCAGGCTGGCACGCCTTCAGGAGGACCACACACGGAGCCAAGCAGACTGCAGAGTGAAAAGCGATGGTGTAAGAGACGCAGGAGGGAATCCAAATCAGTTCCAGCACTCAGAGCCGCGTTGCACGACTCAAGGCTCTGGGGTGGTTTTCACCCCGGAGAAACTGAACAGCACCGCCTTGAGTTGGGGAATAGTGCCGCCAGAACTCAGCAACCTACCCTGGAAAGAAACTGGTTTCCATCTGAAAATTTCATAGGTTCCCAGATCAAACTTTCCTTCCCATGGTGATGAAGACAACCTTACCAACACGGAAGTCAAGATCAGAAAAAAAGGTAGTTTGGGATAAAGAGGTACCCAAGATACTCAATTACAGTGCATGGATCACTGGCAAAGATACCACCTGTTATCCATTATATACACAGGTTAGAGGATTAAATCGCAGGCCCTCATCACCCTTATGGAGAATCAATCCGCACCAACTACAAGGCCGGCCCTGTGCTAAGAGCTCCACTCCAAGAGGAATAGTGACCGCTGCCCTCTAGGCTTACAGCCTGGGCGGGAAGACAAGACTGGGATCCGTGGAACGGCAGAAAGGGGACAGCCAAGCCTTCGCATGTTGATGGTGCAAGGGGCTTAGTATTCACAAGGCCCAAGAGACCAGCCATGGCCTCTGGTGGCACTGGGCCCAGAACACAAACCCCAAGTCCTTTATCGCAGACACCTCACACGGCACCTTGCAGGAGGTGAGGGACGGTC